AGAGAGAGAGAGAGAGAGAGAACGCGGCAAACACACACCCACACTGCTCAGAATCACCGTGCTGGAGTGCATACAGGTGTATACATCCGACAGAACAACCGTGTGTATGTGTGTGCGCGCGTGGGTTGAGCGGTTGAGAAGAGAAGATCGGCGAGAAAAGATCGTTCTGAGGATAACACAACGCGTGATAAGACAGTGCCGAGCTGTGAAGAGCGCCTGACAAGCAGTCAAGAAATGCACTAGAGTAGGCAATACATCAGGTACTGCCATTCGTTGCATTAACATTTTTCTCACTCTATATATCACTACAGAGACTCTGGACTAAGAAAAAGAACCCATACAATAGCATACAAACAAAAACAAGCAAGTTCTTTTGAGGTTCCTGACGCAACGATTACAACACACACATTGCCGATGACTGGAGGCGTTACCAGAGAGAAATACACAAAGAAAAGACAAAGGAGAGATAAGGACGATAGAAAAAAAAGACTGTCTTGAGGTTCCAGTGGCAGCAATGACAATTCACAAAACTAGAAGGTTGGGAGTTCATTTTGTTTTAGTACACAATAAGGTCATATAAGTGCAGAAGATTAGAGGTGTTACAAGAGAGTAACAAACACAAAAAAGAAGTTTTAGTTTTAGTAAGAGTTTTACAGCACTTGCAACAAGAGGAAGAGAGATTAGGATGATAAATGTTGGAGAGGAAAGAAGCAGTAGACCACAAAAAAGCACCCACCAACCACCTATGGGCTGGGAGTTCACAGGCAGTCCACACAACAATGGCCACATGACACCAAGGGCTCAAAGGGACAGTAGAAGCAGAGGAAAGACAAGTAGTACCAAAACCACAAAAGGGCACCTAGCAACCATCCAGCCCAACATCTAAGAGACACTGTAAGTAAGAAAGGTCCCCAGTACACTTTAGGCTATCAAACACAGATGAGAAGGACCTGGAAAGTTGCAGCTTAAAGTAATTTGTCTCATAACACCCACTATGCACCATGTATTATGGTGAGACAGGAACAGACAGCTAAAAAAAACCTATCAATCCTTTCTCCACTTGCCCATGACGCTAACACACAAAGAACTTTTGTGATTACAACAACAAAATTTACTGTGACTTTGAACACTGAGAATTTGAGCAATTAGCATATACTAGCTGGGCCCCCTTTCGATGAAAGGAATGATCGGTGCTTTAATATCAACTAAAAGTCATTGGCCTTCTATATTTACACTCTACTGGAATGGGGCAATAAATCTTGAGAGATGCAAAAAAATATAAGGTCTAGATTTATACTCTAAAAACAAAATGTGCCTCGCGAAATATCACTTCCGGATTTTCTAAAATTACAGAGACAGAAGTGTCGGCCTACAAAAGCGATCGGCGAAATAAAAAAATTAGCTTTTTGCAGCAAAACCGTCTCAAAACTGAAAAAACCAAGGGCGTCATGCTCTGGAGAATATTTTAAAGAATCTTTTGGCACAAACCGCAAGTGGATCGATGCAGCCATTAAAAAGCCTTTTAAATAGCAAAATTTGGCCACCACAAATAGATAATAGATATAAGAAAAACTAATTTAGTTAAGTTAATATAGAGTTTTTACAGCATTAGCAACAGAAATAGGTCAGATTTTAGAGTTAAAGACTAGAGAGGAACAAACCATACAAGAGTGCCCACTAACCACCTACTGAAAAATTAAGATACAAATGAGAGGACAGGAAAGAAATAGGATCTACCAGTCACACTACCCCCCCCCCAGCACTTTCCAACCACCCACAATAAAGGTAAATACTACACAATGATGGGCACATTCACAACCCCCCCCCTGAAAAAAACTTCACCCACAAATTAATCTGGAGCACTCCATACATTCACACACGTACTAACATTCTTTTTCCCTGATGTTGTTTTACAACCTTACGAAGTAAAACAAACTAACAAAACAGAACTCACAACATTGGGCCCACCTTCAGATAATGACTGACTAGTATACACACATAATACATAAAAAAGAAAAATTTTAACTAAACAGCTCAACAGAAGAGCTGTAGTAAGAGATTTAAAGCACTTGCAACACAAAGGTGATGATAAGTACTGAAAATAGATGTTACTACAGAGTAACATACTACACAAAGAAAAGGAGGAGATAAGGATGACATGTTTGGTAGGAAAGAACAAACATTCTTATTCTACATTAAATTAGTCACTAGAGCCAACCACCTACCCACTAAAAAGAAGAGTAATTTCACCAAACAGCCGGGCAGAACAGCTTCTCTTACCTTGATTTTGATGCTGAGTTCATCTGTTGCTGAGAGAGCTTCCTTATCCGTAAGAGAGAGGAATCGAATCTTATCCAGAGCATCCGAAGCATTGGAAATCAGTTCTCTCAAGAAAATCTGTAGAGACAGACAAGCAGGTCAGGTAAATCTGTGCTTTCTTCATGATCTCATTCTGCAGCTCAGATAACATGCAACGTCCACACACAATGCGTGCGTGTTTCATAAAATAAGTAAGCAACATGAATGCACAGTGTTTGAGGATTTAAAATCTGTACAAGCCAGGCTATCATCATTTTTTCTACAAAACTGGGGGTAAAAAACATAGGAAATATTCCCTTTATTTTTACACAGGATAAAAAGAGGAAAAAGAGAAATGTGTACAATATTCAGTGCTAATTGTCATCAATTATATGACAACAAAACAAGCTTCAACAACAAATATTTGTCGGCGGAATTTAAGTTTATCTTATTAAAAAATATTCCCACATAATTTCAGATGTGATAAAAGTTATACAAACAGGTAAACAAAACCCAAACTTACTTCTTTGTTCTTGTACAGAGAGTTGATGATAAGTTTCATCATACGATTCACTTCAGCTTGGAATGCATGTTTCTCAGAATTATCCCTCAGCTCTTTCATCTGTGCTACACTTAACCCATCTAAGCTAATGGCCTCTTCCTCCCTGAGAGTAGAAAATGTAAGTGGACATTGAAAAATTAGCAAAATGCAAAAAGCACATCCACAACAGCATTCAGACTTCTTAATAAATTCAAGATAAATAAACAGCCACTTTTTCATTTTCTTCTTGCACTATTAATCTGTCTGCATCTGTCCACAACAAAGAAGTAATGACAAATTTTTAATAAATGTAATAAAAGTAATAGAAGCACTGGTTTTTTAAAAGACACACACACATATCAAGAATTGAAGTAACAACAAACAAAAGCTCAAATATCAAGATGGAGTATTTATAAATGCTTCAACGCAAAACTTAAGTGATTAAAAAACAAGATTTTGGGACCGTAGATGTGTATTCTCTAAACAACCATTACAACCCCCTCCCCCCTCCCAAATCAAAATACCCCCCAAATTAAAGTAGAAATAAAAAATAAAAAACTAAAGAAACAAGAATCAATCATACCCCTAAATAAAATGAACAGTCAACTAATAGCGTTCAGTGAACTGTTTTCCAGTGTCACTTTTCTGGTCTACCATGATTAAGAATGATCTTCATACTGAAACTGAAATGCATCACCTTTGAACCACTTCGTCATCAGTTCTTGATCCATCTCTGCTTTTTCCAAGGTCATCTTCTACTGTAGCTTCATCATCATCATCTGCCTTTACAGCTGTGAAGACATACAAAGAAACTATGAGCACTAAACTGATTTATAAAAAATAATACACCAAAAAATAGGTTGCAGATATAACTTGTTCTTAAAGACAAAGTTCCATGAAGTTGCAAGCTGCAACCACATTTAGAATAAAATCATGTTTATAAATTTTAATGCAATGTAAATAAATTTTTGATGCTGAGAACATCTTTCACATCCTCTTATCAAAACAAGATCTCAAACTAGTTTATGTTTATCATGATTTGAGGAAGAAATTCAAAGGGTTAGCTTTACTTCCCAGGACTGCATTCAATTTTACCTGAAGCTTCTTTTTGCGAGGTATTTCGTGATCCATATCCAACAGGCAACTCTTTACTTGTAAGGAGATGCAAACTCTAAGCTAATTGTCACTATTGGGGAAAAAGGGATGGGTAGGTGGTCATACAGAACCCAAGACACGATGTTTCTTTTTATTAGCAACTCTAAATATACAAATACTCATGACTCAAGTCATGTCACATGTCAGAGACGTCAACAGTCAAGTAAGTCTAAACATCATCTATGAATGTGGTTGACTACAAAATCAGTTTCCCCAACACGTGTCTCTTCTCTTTCATTTGCCTTGATCTCAACACACTACACTAGAAGGTAGTGCTAAACCTGCCCATTCACATCCAAAGATGCCACTTGGCTAACAAGGCCTGCAGAATACTACCACTGACCACCCTTGAAAACATATATATAGCGATCAGATCTAAACCAAGGAAGGACACTGGTTGTTCCTCAATGATACATGCACTCTTTAAGAAAAAGCAACAAGATCTAGATCTAGATATCTAGATCTAGAATCTATTTATAAATATCTAGATCTAGAGATCTAGATCTAGATCTAGAATCTAGGCTTTTGTTAGGGGATGGGGGCAAAGCAACAGAATTAAGGAGTGGGCGTGGTCCGCGTCACGCGGCGCGTGGACTAAGTTTGGCCTAGGCTACATACATGGCGTGGACTGGACAGACAACAAACTGATTCCTGGCAGGTTTGATTCGTGACTGCTTGAGGGTCGACAGCCATAGCCTGCACGCTTTCAATTCTAGAAATATTAATCTAGGGGGCGATTTCGTAGTTTCGTTCGTTAAAGTCAAGGGTAGGAGGAGAGGGCAACCTAGTCTAAATTCTAGTAAAAATATGGAGGGATTCG